TGCAGAGTGTTACAAAGTCAGGTTTTTTTCCTCAGACTGTGGGAGGTATAAGCTCAGTCAGGCATTGTTAGTAAATAAGATCTAGAACACTTAAAAGAAGGATCCAATCACAAATTCAATTGGTCCATTCACTACATGTAATATTATTTACCTAAGTGGCCCTTCTGGACAATTTCATAACTCAGGTTTAAAACCTTTTTAAAGAAGATCAATATGACTGAGCACACAGCTTCTGAGCATGATGAAAGAGTCAGGCTGTTTTAGCAGTTATGGTCTGTGATTTCCAGACCTGAAGTCCAGATTAGAAAAGCAAAATGAGGAAAATACTTTCTGTGAAATACTAAAAAGAAAAAAATAGCCTTGGAGAGAAGGATGGAGTGAAGCAGTGAAGTAAGATCTGTTGCAAGAGATCAGTTCTTTTATTGGGCTGACACAACTAGAAAATACAGGCAGGCTTTCCGGCACATAAACCTTCTGCAGCTCCAAGAGAGAAGATGTAGTGACATTTAAAGCCACACACACAGTTTTGCCAACATGTGTCAGTGTGAACCTCCAGTAGGAGGGAACAACCAGCCGCTCTATTTGCAACTTGGCAGATGGGGTGTTTTGTTGTCTGCTCTAACGTGTGATGTGAGTTGGCTGCTTGCACTGAGTCCCATCAAGCGCGAAAGGTAGCTCTTTATTAATCTCATGTTCAAGATCCAGTATTTGATTTGTTCCTCAGGTAGTCAGATGCTCAGCTCAGCTGGGAGCGATGAGCTCCAATACCTAAATTCAATGCCCCTACAAGTCTCTGCTGCTTCCTTTACCCAGGGATCTCAGCAATCAGGAGCAATGGAGCTTTTCTACTTCTTGATCAGCATCACGAAAAGTCAAATGATGATACAAGCAAATACAAGCCAGGAAGGTTCTATTTCATAATGGGCCTGGTAACTACACAGATGTACACCAGCACTGGCTCCCACCGTTTCGGTTATACTCATCCCATTTCATTACTCCCTTGAGCCAGCAGCATGTGGGAGTGGGTTGTGTCTGTAAAGGGGGGGATGGTTCAACTGCTAACAGATCCTAAAATATTTGTAGTGAAAACTCATTAAATCTTTAGTGGCAAAAGGCAGTGGTGCTGACTCACCTTTGCCTGTCTATCTTCATTAACCACATCTCTAAGTAATGGCTGCTATTAAGTGATGCTCCCCTGCTCTTCTTTCTCCTTGCCCCTCTCCTCGCTGCTTCTTACGTGTCGCTTAGGCTGAGCCCCTTGTCTTTTCCTGTGCTACCACACATCACTCTAAACCTTGTGCAATTTTCATGATGCTCCTCTCCAACAAGAAACATTAGAAAGGAAAGCTAATTTTCGTTCTTTCTGTTGTCTCTTTGCCCTTAGGGCTGAAGTGATCTCTGGTTCACCTGGGCGAGATATATCAGTTGTGACCGAGGGTGGGAGACACGCCGGGGTGCTGAGGACAGTGCAGCATCTGTAGAGAGTGCTGACTGTAGATTTCTTACAGATAGTGACATGTATAAAGCCACTTCTTAGCTTTCAGCAAAAGTAATTTTTTTCAGCCCTCGAATGAAGTAATGCCCTTCCCATGTGATTGTAACACATCCATCCCAAGAGTCCAGTCCAAAAGCAGGCTGTGGGAGATCCCGAGAAACCCACTTGTGGCAGCTGTGATGCCATTTCACTCTTTAGAGTGAAAAAATGTGGCCCTGATGATATGTCTGAACTCAGTGTTGGAAGAGGCAGAGAACTATTTGCAGGGATAGAAAAAAAAAAAAAAACAACCATTTTGTGTTATTAGACAAAGTAATGTGGCTGGAAGCCTTCCTTCCCCAAACCAGACAAGCTGTTTCTGCCAGGTATGGCAGCTTTTCAGGGGCTAAAGCTCTCATTTCTATGCCAGGCGACACAGAAGTGGTGTCAGGCTGAAATGGCTTGAAGGTTTGGACTGATGGTGCAGGGAGAAGGGTGACCCAGCTGGAGAGAGGTGATAGAGTCCAAATTGAGTGGTAAGTCTTCTTTCCTTTATCTTGTGTAGGTTGTTACGTGGTTCTCTTAGTTTTTCTACACCTGTTTGTGCTGCAGGTATCACCAGTGCAATAGCCAGTCATTGGATATTGTCAATGCATCTGCAATCAGGCGCAGACTAGAAAAAAATCTTCCTTGCCCCAGATATTAACTCAAGTAGTAGAAAATGCCTCTCTGTGAAGATAATTCATATGGAAAATGTGCGTTTCTAGTCTCTCTGCACAGTTTCCAAAATTTTAATGTGACTGTGTTTCTATTTTTGTTACCTTTCAAGTACTTAATCGTTTCTTCTTTCTAGGCACCCATGAATTGCCTACCCCTTTTTCTACCTGGATTTCATCAATATTTTTGTCATTTTTTAACTGTTAAGCAGGAGACAGTACTGCTCTGGGACAAAGACGCGGTCTAGGGTCTACCAGCATTGGCTGTTCGTTTCACCAAGAGATGCTGCCTCCAGGAGACTGGTGCTATTGGGAAGTGACAGCCAGAGAGCAGTGATCCTTCAGCTCATTCGTTCCGTCCACACGTTCGACTGATGCTCTGTTAGCCAGTTTTGGAAGAGAAAGACATCAGTTTTGGAAAGTCAGTAATAGTGCTGGATCTCAGGCTGAGGGGCAGCTCAACAGCTGAAGGTTTTGCTGAAATCCTCCATGTAATCCAAGCAGACATAGATTTGTTTTGATACTGCATGCCACCATTTCCAAACCCAGTCAGCAGCGTGTGTTTGTTAGGCTATGCAGATGATGGCACGAGAAGAATCCAGGGCAAATAATTCATTTTGTGAGTCTTTCCTGTCTGGTTTCATTGCAGCTTCTTATGTGCTTCAAGTATTAATAAAACACTTTCTTGGACTGGGGTTGTATTGAGAGATGAGATCTCACTGAGAAATTAAGATAATCTGAAGCTTTCTTTTCTTTCTAAAAAATTGTTGGAAAGGAAAGAGATCCAATTCTGGCATGATGTTTCATAAGGTGACATTTGTTATAACTCATTGCAAATGTTACTCACCATCTACAAAACATTAGATTAAACTGAAGAGCAGTGAAAAATATCCAGTTCCACTTTAGCAGCTGCACTTGTCTCCAGCATCCCTCAGGTTTTTTGGAGCCAACAGATTCCCCCCCTGGAGACCTCCGCACGGTGGCTACTGGCCTCTGCCACCAGTCCCACACAGTCCCACCAGCTGGTGATCTTTCCCAAAGATCTCTTTGGTCCTTACTTGTTCTCAGACCTGTTCTGTGTCCTTTTGTGTCTCATCATTATTTCAGTGGGAACTGGCTGGACCCTGCAGGGATAACATTTTCATAAACAAAATTTGAGAAATGACTTGTGATCTTTATTCCTTGTGAAAATCAGAGTAGTTGGTTAATGTAGATTATTGAGACTTAAAGCCCCTAAGTCACTTGAGATTGTTCCTTAGTTCTAAAAGTTTTAGTGGCATAATATTTCCATAGAAAAGAAGCCAATACATTTACGATGGTTTCTGTTCAGTTCGTAAGTCCTTCTGCCTCTAATGCCGTTGTGCGTGTCTTCAGGTTGAAACATCTATGCAGCATATCTGGAAATGTAACAAACAAAAACTTCTCTCGTATTTGTAAGAAACTAAGAGAGCACATTTTTTGAGATGCCAAACTTGCTGTTAGAGATCTCTGGCTCCCCAGGAAATTCACAGATGTAACTTTGCAGTGTGCTAAAACCACCCACTGTTTTGCAGTGTCAGCTGGGCTGGAGCTCAGATCCACCCACTCCCGCCGCACCGGGCCAGTTACTCTGGAGCTGAAGGCAAAATGAAAATCGGTGTTGCTGAACAGGATTGCCTTATGGCATGCAGCGGGACGGTAAAAACAGAACCCGTGGTGTCTCACTCCCAGTTCAGCACCTCAACCACAAGATCCTCATTATCTCTTTATCAAAAACTCCTCTTTCCCCTGGGTAGGGCACTAAAAAGGAACAAAACTCTGGCTCATTTGCCGCAGGAAACCACTGAGCTTTGGGCAAGGAGACAGAATAAGCCATCCAATAGTTACAGCTGCTGGTGTCCCCTGGTCCTGACCAGATGTGGTTTATTGATGCTAAACGGAGGTAGATAAGCACAGCTCCTTATGTGTGAATTCCTGTCCAGCCCATGTTTCCTACGACTTCGGTCACCTGCTACGCTCTTAGAGCCGTGGGAAGGAACAGTAATTCAATCAGTTTGCTACGTGTGTTCCAGGGCAGGATTTACTTCTCCTTTTCCTAGACCATAAACAACATCTCTGCCTCTGGAGAGCAAGGGTGGTGGCTTCCTACATCAGCCTGTCTTCAGCTCCTATTTATAAACGAGGAGAGTGAGAAAATACATTTTAAACCATGAAAGCTTTAAAAATAAAACAGTGACCTAGTCAAAGACTAAACCTTAGGGAAAAATAAAACCTGTTTTAAGAGATGGAAGCAGAGAAGAAGCGGCAAAAATAATAAAAATAAATCTTATTACTGTAAATAGGAGGGTGAAAATCAGCAGCTCCTATCAGTGACAGTTCAGAGATGCTGAGGACGTGGCTCAGCAGTGAAGGAGGAGGGAAGTGAAAAAAACACTGAGTGGGAAATAAAGCAAAAAATGAGAAATCCACCTATTTGCACATGTGATAGATTATCCATAAACAAGACCATGCTTCTGTCCAGATAGAAGAAATCAATGGCATACTGTTTGAAGGAGATTTAAAAATATCCTGACTGTCTGTCATTCTGTGTACCTCTTCTGAGCAGTAGCCTAACCTTTATTTTTTCAGGTAGCCTTTCAATGTGGGGTTGCTCAGGGGGTGTTACAGTCACTGTGTTAAGAACAAAACAGCTTAAAGAGGGATCGGAAGCTTTTACCGCGATGGACCTTTGGAAATTCGTCCCCTGTGAGGAACAGATAGGAGTTGTTTGTCTGTTCTGTCACTTACACATGCTGCTTCTTCCCCCGCAGGGTGCCTGGTCACTATGAACAATGGCCCAGCTATACTACAAAAAGGTAAACTATTCACCGTACAGAGACCGGATCCCACTACAGATCGTCCGAGCGGAGGCAGAGCTCTCGGTGGAAGAGAAGGCCTACCTCAGCGCTGTGGAGAAGGGGGACTATGCCAGCGTGAAACATGCCTTGCAAGAGGCAGAGATCTACTACAACATCAACATTAACTGTATGGATCCTCTTGGTCGCAGTGCCCTTTTAATAGCCATAGAGAATGAAAATCTGGAGATCATGGAGTTGCTTTTGAACCACAGTGTGTACGTGGGAGACGCTCTGCTGTACGCAATACGGAAAGAGGTGGTGGGAGCTGTGGAGCTGCTGCTGAATTACAGGAAGCCCAGTGGTGAAAAACAGGTTAGTCAAGTGTTCCAGGTCAGTTTTAAGCTATTATCCTGTGTTAGGAAATTGGTACTGCACACAGAGGTGCTGGGCAGGAGTCATAAAACAATGTCCTTAATGTAGGACCACGGCTTTAAATGCCCAGCGTAGCTGTGGGCAGTCCTGTTTGGATGATAATTTTCCAGCCTGAGCAAACGTGTTCTGCCTGATGTAAACACTCAGCGTTTTCAATTTCACTCAGTGTTCTTTTCAGCATTACAGTGTTTGTGAACACACTGATTTACAGGTTGATTTATAGATGCACACTTTGTAAAAGAATTTGGGGCTGTTTGAAATTATGTTACAATCTATAATTATAAACTGTTGCCTTGCTGTTGTACTGACACTAAGCAGAATTGCTTTTCATAAGTAAATCTTGAAAACACACAAGCTTATAAATTTCTGTAAGCAAGCAAGCAGTCTGCTAGGTTTCAGTACTTAGCCATAGTACAGGTGTACCATCTTGCTCTCCGTCTCCAGAGAGCCCTAGGGTCAGAAGTGTTGAGGCAGTGCCTAATGCTACAGCATGAGCTAAGCTGCTATATCTCTGAGCAATGAACAACTATGACTTGTAGCTACAAAGCCATCGGAAAGCTACGTAAGGATCTTTGGAAAAATCACAAAGTCCGAGTCCTGTCGCTTCAAGTGTCGCATATCACACTGGCCCTAACTTTTTTTTTTCTTTTTTGCTTCTTTTCATTTGCAAGTATACTGCCCTAACGAGAATGGTTTGTGTACCTTACTGACCACTGACAATTTCTGCATGTTCACTGCTTAGAAAGGAACATGCAAAACTTGGATAATCCTTATATATCACGCCTTGTTTTGAAGTCTACTTGAACACATCCCTCACTGTGTGAAAGAACAAAATGATTAATACTAGTCAATCATAGAAGAAAATGTTTTCAATGGATAGGCCCCTTAGTACATCATTTTTCAACAGTAATTTTATGTAGCCAAAGCAAACAATAAGGACCAACCCTGACATTATTCAAGAGAGCAGCATTCTGAATACTGTAGCAATGTGATTCTAACCTGTGGTTTAAGTACTAGAGAGCTGAAGAATCTCTTCTATCAGACCTAAAAATTGAACTGTTATTACAGGGTTTTAGTCTGATAAAATCTGAGTAGCAAAATACAGACCATACATGGAGAAAGAGCCGTTTTTCTCTTGGTCTTCTAGAAAGTTTGACCATCCTGTAGGCCAACAGGACAGAAAGTAGAATAGAAGAAAAGTTTTTTCAGTAGCATGAGGAACTGCCAGTATTTATTGCAGGTTAATGACAGGTTTATCCTGAGATGTCATGGAAAGCAAGTGGTGGGATTCACGTGGATTTCTGAAAGATCTCTTGAATACCAAAACTTGTGTCCACTCAAATTCACAGCCTTGCTGGCTTAACTGGACAGAGATAGCTAGAGATGAGGTTGATTTATTGCTGCTGAAATTCAGCTCCAACGTTTGTAGTTCAGTGATACATTTCATAGTAGGTCTGTTTCATTTTTCTTTATCTCTACGTCAGTCTGCAGCTATCTTTCTGTAGCTAGGTTTGTATCTGCTGCAAAGTTTACAACTTGAAGGAGAATGTGCGTGTGGGAGAAGAGATGTGGTGCCAGTTTCAGCTTTATTTACAAGGTTTGTTACAGAACCAGATTTCATCAGTACATTTTAGACTAGGACTGGCTTGATGCAGCATCCAACGTACACACTAGGATTAACTTCCCTGGCTGTGGTTCAGGCTCCTCTGCAGGCTGCAGTAAGTGTTTGGCAGTAGAAGGCTGCAGGACTGGACTTCCATTTCAGCAGTTTCACTGCCTGTTCATGCAGTGATGGTAATTAACATTTATTTCATGCATAGTGATATAATAGTAAATGGAAAGAAGTGCTCAGTTAAGCAAAGTTGGGATAAAGTTGGTTAGCCTGTCAAATCACAAAGCTAATGTAGGAGGGTTTTCTGAACACAAGTTCCTGATGCTAATTCCACCGCAGTATCAACATACATTCAGTAATTATCTTTGCTGGATCCTTTCTCAGAAGGTCCTTTGGGAATCCCATACCTAATTGCTTTCACAAAAAGCACCTGATCAATCAGATTAGCACAGCTTTAACCTAGTCAGCTACTCCTATGTTCTAAAACATATAGAAAACCTGCTTTTTTGGTTGAGTGGTAACATAAATTCACACTTCATGGAATGGTTTCTGTCTGTCTGAGAAATTTGCAAGATAGTGTCACAACACTTTTTATAGATGAGGTTTAGTATAATCTATTCATTAAACGTACACAAGGTTCAGTTTGCCTGAACAAACCTGGCATTGTGCCAGCCTCTTGTGGAGTTGCAGTGACTGTATCTAATCAGCAAAACACCCCAAACAAGGTAGGAATCCACAGCCCCTTACAGACTGGACCTGCAGAGCAGTTTCGCTCACCAGCCCAGTCTCTAAAAGGTGATGTGTCCTGGGTGCTCCACACCAGTCTCTTGAGAGCTACCTGAGGGGAAGAGCTCTGCTTTTCCTCTTGATGATGACCTTTCCAGGGAGAGGAGTAAAAAAACCTTTCAAATGTAAGAAGTGACCTTTGTTGTGTTCCTCATGTAAGAGAATCAAGGTCTCATTCACTGTGGAGGGGACAGGGAGAAATGGATGCTGAGACTGGGTGGCAGAGATGCTTGTGTCCTGTTATTAAGCAAACGCAGGCAGCCATTATTCTGCAAACCTTTGCTAGACTGCTGTTTAAGTGTCATTTACTGAAAATACCATGACAATGGCAGGGGTAAGTCATAGCCAGTAACTATAACAACCCTCTTCTCCCACACTGTAGCCATGCGCGTGAGGGGTGTCTCGGGAAAGGAAGAAATTACTCTGTTTACATGCGGAGCATACGAGAGCCAGGAGCATGAACCACCTCTCTCTAAAGGCTGCTACAAAGCACATGATGTATGAGCGTGCTGAACAGCGATGTGTTCCAGTAGATGTATTTCCTTTTAGGTTTACCTCCAAGCAAGTTTCATGGGCTATTTTAAGAACTCAGCGTTTCTCCTCAAAACTTGTTCTGCCCGGTCCTGGCATCCTACAGCCACGGTTTCGTATACTGCTCTGTGAGTCTCTTGATAAAGCTGGGGAGACAACTTCACCAGTTGCAGCCAGAACAACTCTATGGCTAATACAGCTACAGCTGTTTTGAAAGATATTGTCACCTATGGGAGGTCTTGCATTCAGTGAGAGTCATCATGGTGCAAGCAACTTACTTCTGCTACCATGGGAAGACCATAGAGGTGTGCTGCTGTGCTTCGCTCCCAGCAGAGTAAAGCCCAGGCTTTAACGGACCCTTTCTCTTCTTCAGATCATAGCTAACCTCTCTCAAATATGCCACACCATGCTCTGAGGTGCAATCTCACTTTTTATTTTACTGTCAGTGTGCAGGTGTGCTCCAGAGCGCGATGGAAGATGCCTGCATGCAGAGCATGTGGGGCAACAGCCCTGCCCACCCACCGCAGCGTAGGTCAGACGTGGTCTGGACCGGGCACAGCACTAAGAGCTGAATTCTCAGGGAAATACAGGAAATTTGATTATCCACTCAAAACAGATTAAGTAACAAGAGAGTTTTTTCTAGTTCTGTGATTTTTACAAGTTCACTTATTATTTCCAAATGTTACTTAATTTACTCCAATTAATCCTCCAAGCTTTTTTTCAGACCATAGTTCACTTTGGCCAGTCACTTTGCATTGCTGATTGGTCACTTGAACTGTAGGATCCTTTGTTTTTCCCCAGATAGATGACAGACATTTGGAAAGCAAGCAGCCTCTTCATGAATATTAAGAAGAACAACAAAAACTAATATTCATGGAACCTGGAGGGTATGCAAGCGTTGCTTTTCTTGCAGAGATTTGTAGTCAGTGAATATGTATTACCCAGGAAAGAAAAGCGAGCCTAATCTGGTGCTTTGATGGATATTGTTTGCTTTTCAGGACAGTGAAGAGGCTGATACTGTACTGCAGAGTGGCACAAGAGTAGTATATGTGTACTGCAGACGGCTTGGCATGGCAGTCCGAACTCAGGTCTTCCACAGGATAAGTGTCATCTTATTTCAATAAGACGACAAACCACTGAATAATCATCAGAAGGAACAGGGCTGGGTTAGAAACAGTAAAAATCAGCACGCACAGATGCAGTATTGACTTTGGCGCAGGCTTGTTGAATCAGGTGGCTCATCTCTTTTGGGGTAGGAATATTAAACTGCAAAGTTGTCTGTGCACAGGACAGGTTCCATACATACAATGGCAAAACAAGACTTTTTGTACTATTCTATAGAATGTCTGGCTGGGGCCCTAAGGGGTGGAATTAACAGGGAACTTGAAAGTACTTCTTTCATTTTTTTTGATACAGTACTACTGTAGGAGCAAGGGAATGTATATATGAAGGCTGTTAAACAAATTCTCTTTTGCAGTAAAATCTTCTGTCTCCCAACCTATTCAATCTTTGAGTTTTGGGGGGTTTTTCCTAAAAGTTGTATCAGAAATTTCTTTTACTATACAAACATCAATACAATGGGTTATATTTTCAGCCAGGCTGGAGTCTGCACCTAAACTGCACCAGCAAAGGGAAGGAAATATAGGTCTGGAAATTCACATTTTCCTACATATTTGATTCACCTTCAATTTATCATTAGTAATAGTTGTGTTTCCAGACATTTTGAAGCCTGCTGAAATCAGTACAAATTTTCCCTTTGACTCAAGTGAGGTCTTCAGGAGCATTTCCTTAACAGCTTCTTGTGTGAATTCTGTGAAGTGGTCTCGGTTCTCCGCTAAACACGCATCACAGCTCGCAGGGTAGTGCTTTCAGTTCGCACAGATCTTGCATTATTTTTTGCCTTGCTACAGTGGATGTGTTTGCAGCACACCAGACACGGTCTGTGCTGACTGCTTAGGTCTCCTTCCGTTCTTTAAAAATCAGTCATCTGAATTACTACACGTTCATGGTG